GAACGAAAGAGCGAGGGATGACTGCAATATAGGGTGCAAGAGAGGGGAAGCAGGAGGGGGGCCGAAGGTGAGAGGCGAGAAACGTTGACGAAGGAGCACAGGCGGAGATGGAGTAGGAGTATAGCAAAGTCGAAAGGGGAAAGGGATCGGAGGGAGGGAGGGCGGGAGGGGAGAAGGAGAGGAAAGGTAAAAGGAGAAAGAGGAAGAAGAGGTGTGCGCAAAGGCAGATCGAAACGTAGCAAGGGAAGAAGAAAGGTTAGGGTGGTTAGGTTAGCCGGATAGTATCGGGGGAAGTCAGAGGGTGAAGAGACAGACAGAGAGGGAGGGAGGAGAGGAGAGAAGAGGAAACGGTACGCGAGGTAGAACGAAGAAAGAGAAGGGTTTCGTATCCTTCTCCCGCCCTCTCCCTCTGTCGTTCTCCTTCTAGCACGGCTCTTTTTGTGCTTCCCTCTTTCATTCGTTTGAGATAAACCGGGTGCAACGGCGGGAAGAAAGGAGGAGGAGGAGGAGGAGGAGGAGGAGGAGAGAGGAAAGGGAAGAGAGAAGAGACAGAGATACCGAGAGGGAAGCGGGAGAAGAGAATGGCAAAGTTCTCTCGTTCTTCTGGATGAGTCAGGCGCAGGTCAGACGAAGGGGAAGGACGAACAGGAAGCCGGGCAGTGGGAGAAAGAAAAAGGGAGAGAGAGAGAGAGAGAGAGGGAGGGAGAAGAGAAGAGAGACCGTGCGAAAGAGAGAGGCGGCGGCAGCAGCGACGGTTTAGCCGGGAGAGAACACGAAGACCCGAAACGGGGACAAAGAGAAAATGACAAAGGCGAGAGGGGCGGCGGATTCGATTGGAAAGGCAGGCAGAGGGGCCTCTTTCCTTTTACCAGCGTTTTCTCCGTATTACGTTCCGCGCGTACTTTCCGTTGTTCCTGCGCTCGCGCGCACTGACACGCACCCAGTAATACGCGCACGCACACGCACATATGCACATATTGTACACCCGCGTTCTCTTTTCTTTCCGTCGTCCCCCTCATCTCCGGCGACCTCCCGTCCTATCCTTCTCCGCGCCCTCCACGCCGTTCTCTTTCTGCCTCTCCTCGTTCCATCGCCTTCGTCCATCTGGACATCGGTATTGTACATACGTGTGTATGTATACATGTGCATCGTCTCAATCGTCGTACGAGGTTTCATGTCGCGCGGCTCTACGCTCTACTCCCGCGGCGAGAGGGCGGCTTTGTACGTGGGTGAACGGGAAAATGTCTTTTGAAACCTTTCTAGGTCGCTCTCGATCGTCCCCACTGTCAGTCATACACACGCGCGATCTCGCTCCGTGCCGCTCTCGAGAAAACGCTCGCCTCGCTCTCGCCTCGCGACGATGGAGCCCCGGCTTCTTACTACATTTCGGACGCAAAAAGAATGTATTGTCGCTTCAAAGCATCTTTCACTCGATTGATATCGATATATTTAAATGAGGAAGGTAGCGAAATCAACAACTGCGCAGATTCTCACAGTCCAAAAGCTGAAAAAATAGAGGATGAAAAAGAGAGGAAAAAAAATAAAAAAAAAATATATATTAAAATTCTTCGTTTGCGACGATCAAATAAAAGATAATATATAAAAAAAAAAAAAGAAAGGGAGAGAGAAAGAGTTACCATATTTAGAGAAATTCTCAACCCTTTCGATATGCATATTTATATGTATGTACGTGTGAAAGAGGGACACGCAAAAGAGGTCGCGCTTTTGCTTTTTGCGCTCAAACACTCAAAGCGAGAATTATTCGCGTCTCGTTTGCCTACGGAAAAATCTTTCCTATTAATTCGACGGCATTCGAGGGATTCTTATTGCGTCGCAAAGTTAAACATCATCCTATAAACGCGCCCACCCGTCGTCATCGCGACATTTCACAAACCAAGTTACGAACGAGCGTGCTATTGAGACAGCGCGCAGCCGAGGAGACTCGTTCTCGCTTTTGCAATTTGTAAATCCCGTCGCGCGGGGCATTACGGTACCGCGATCCTCGCGTTCCCTCTCTTTTTTTCGCCGATTCGCATCTGGTCGTCCTCCGGAACTCGATCCTTGAATCACGCCGGGTGGGGAAAAAAAAAGGGGCAGGAAGAGAGAAAGAGGCGATCGATGGAAGAGGAGAAGAGACGTACGAGGAGAGAGGCCGAGGAGAAAGGCGGAGAGATAGAAAGAGGGAGAGAGGGTGAGAGGGGTTCGGGGGGGAGGGAAGCTGAAGCTAGAAGACGCGCGAGAAAGAGAGAGAGAGAGAGAGAGAGAAATAGTGTTATTCTATCGAACGGCGGGAAACGAACGCGAGGCAAGGCTGAGAGAAGGAACAGTAAAATTGTGGAGAATGTGCACGCGCCATCATCAGGGTGGCCTAGATTCAGCCAAGACCTGCTTTCTAGGCAGCATTTCTCTTTATCATCGGCTGCGCGCGAACGCGAGGTATAGGCGAACCGTTGCTCGATACGCGCAGGAGAAAACCTCGCGGTGATGATGATGATGATGATGATGATGCCACGAGCTATGCCTCTCTCTCCTTCGTCGGAGATTCTAAAGATTGACATTAAACTCGCCATTCTTTAGCAGAGTCACTGTAAACGCTTACGTTCGAAGGTAAAGCTTATATCACAGTCATATTGAAATTCATCCTGAAAAGGATTTTTCTAAAAATTGCCCTATATTGAAAATGCACATCCTGCGTTTTTCACATCTTTTTTTTTAATATTTGACACGTAATATTTTCAATAATTTCAATCTCTCTTTGATCTTTCGTTCGAAAGATGATTCCAACATTAGTTAGGTCCATGAGAGAGAAATGGAAAAACAAATTTCGCGCGTGATAAAGTACTCGTTCTAAACTTTTATCGAGCGACATGACGAATTTATTAACGCATCGCTTGTACGAGAAATCGCGCGAGAACGAGACGAGGGACAAGGAGATGATAGGGAGACTCACGTTAATAAAAAAAAAAAAAGAAAAAAAAAGATAATACAACTGCGAATCTTGCCCGATCCGTCATCATCAATCATCGGCGATTTTCTCGTATTTGACAATCATTTAATTACTGATAAACCCGTATACCGCACAAGCCGATGAAACGAGCTCCTCGAGCTTTTCGTCGGTCGTGTCACGCACGACGATCGACACGCGATGCAGCCGGCGATCGTAGGGTGAAATACGACGATCGTCAACAATATACGAAGCTTCGTCGGGGACGAGACGCGAACGGAAAGACAGATGAAATGTGTCCTATCAACATTGAAAATCTATCGATGCGGAATCGATATTATTGTATTTATACGATATTATTACTGCCAAAATCAGCTGTATATTAATAAGAACAATTAATTAGTAATCTATTATTCTAGCACGAACAGGTTATTATAACGTTAAGAAACTATTAATTAAATCAATTAATTAATAATTTATTATTTTAGCACGAATAGGTTACTATCATGTTATGGTACTATTAATTAAATCATATCAATAATTAATTTTCAATCGCGCCATCGTTACCTTTGATCATCCCGTTGGTATATAAATTAATAAATAATGGTAGACAAGAAACGAATATCTGAATATCTTTAGTGATTACTTCTCGTTTGATTTGTTAGAAATATTTTCATTTTCCAAGATTCAATTTTGGAGAAAAAAGTACAAACGATATAAGCAAACTCTTTCAACTGTCGCGACATCATCTCTCAAAACTATCCTCGAAATCTACATCAAAGCGTTTACGGTGATTTATTTTATTGACATTTTTCCACGAAGTAAAATAGAAGCTCCCCCGGTACCCGTATAATTTCCTCGGACCCACCGCGTCGAGAGGGATTAAACTATAACAGACGGCGGCGTAAACTACCGGGCTTCTCGAGCACGGTCGCAGATTGCATCCGAGTGCATCCCGCGCATTCGTAATCGACGATTATTGGACGAGTATCGCGCACGTGACCTACCGTAACGGGTGACACGGCGGTTTCGAGACGAAAAGCGCGTGGCTTTACGAAGACGCACGCGCTTTTATTCCGGAGAACTGCTCTTAATTCATCGACTCTGGTCGCGTAAAGCTCCGACAGCTCGTTTAAAGGCGAGGATGGCGTCTGTATGTATACGATTATATCACGTGTATGCGTCAAATGTATACGTGTAGCGACCGAAGCACCCCGGAGTCAAAACAGTGCGGCCTCGTCTGTGGCCGGAAAGAAAAAAACGAAGAAAAATCAAATGGATAAGGACGTCGATTTTCCTCCTCTCAAACATGATTAATCGCGCCGCGAATATACATGTATTTTAATATGTATCGAAATATACCGCATGCAACAGAAGCTTGTTAAAGATCTGACGATAAATTAAATTGATAATAAATAAATCATTCCTATAATTACGAAAAATTTCATTTTATATAAAATTTGCTTTACATGTATATTTTGCTTCATTTTATGATTACACAAATTAAATTCGAATAAATGAGATGATGTGCTCAGAATTAATCTCGAAGCTTGGAAAATTTCAGATTAATTAAATAAATAGAATTAAATAGATTAGATAAATAATAAGCACAAGTAAATGAAAATTCTGGTAGCGATTGTTGAAATTGACATAGACTATAATCGTGACATTGTCGCATACATTTCGCATGACACACGAAGACGATACTGTCGTTTACTCGCGTTTCACAATTGGCTCATTGACTGGCGCACTTGTCCAGGAAGCACGTGGCTGTATTGATAATGAAAAGGATAAAAAAGATACGGCCGCGCGCCTTGCTACGAGGTATTTGTTTACAAAACAAATTCGGCGGTGCGTAGTTCGAGAACTACGACGTTGACCGTTTTCGCGCTATTAATGCCGCGGAATGAGCCGAGACAAATCGTGCTTCGTGCGTGATTCGAAATGCCGCGAACGGACGCGAATGAAGTTGTCGAGAAAGTCGCGCGCGAGTCCGCGCTCTTTCCCGACAAGGACACTCGCGCGAAGATTCATGCACGATCGTGACAGAACGTACCTTACCATGACCTGACCCACAAATGAAATCTTTAGCGGAGCAGCAGCGGCAGCGGCAGGAATAGCAGCAACGGCGGCGACGATCCGGTCCGCGCGGTAATCGTCAACCCCCGCGTTGCTGTCCAAGGTCCCGGGGGATAGGCACACACTTTCGTATCGGATAAACACACGGTCCGCGACAGGGCGCGAAAACGAAACGGACGGCCTCGTCGAATTACGTATTTACCCGCGTATCCACGCGCACGCATGCACGCACGCACGCACGCAAGCTGTCACGCACGCACAGCCGGTATCGGCCGTGTCAGTCGTTCAGCGAGAGACACGCACTCACCGCGTTGGCCACTGGCAGCTGTCACTCACGGATTGTCCGTGAAAACGTCGCGGGCCGAAGTGGCATAGCGAATCACGGGGAGAAAGAGACAGCGGGAGACACCGCGAGGGCGAGGGAGGGAGAGGGAGAGGGAGAGGGAGGAGAGAGAGAGACGGAGCGCGACCCTCGGGAGAGAAGGAGAAAGGGGAAAAAGAGGGAGAAAGAGAGAGAGAGAGAGAGAAAGCGAGGAACATGCATGCACACTAGGGGGCACTGCGATGGCGGCGACGGATGGGCTGTGCTCCGTTGCGGACGGTGGCGCAAAGCGATTAAGCGATTTTGTTGTGGACCCCCGATTCTCTTTCCTTCGTCGGCTCTCTCTTCCCGGCTTTCCACTTCTCCCGTGCCTCTGTCGCCTTTCGCCTCTCCCGCGCCTCGTCGGCTACGCTACGCCGCGAACGCGCTCTAGAGCGGAAACCCGGCTTTTTACCACCACCACTCGCGCGCCCTCCCCACCGCCGGCCAATACCGTGACGGCGTACGTCGGGCGGCAGGACCGTCGTTTTGAAACGCGCGCGTTGCAGACAGGAGAAGGCTTCGAACGTAAACGCGACGTTACAACTTTCAATTTTACCTCGTAGACATGTACCGAGTTTTTTCTTACATTCGCGTCCTGTCTTTCGAAGGATTTTCAAAACTATCGAGTTTACATACACAATTCAGAACGATATAAGCGAAGAAAATTCACGAAACGTGCACTATTGTCAATTATTAAACAGTATTAATCTTGATTCTCTCCTTAATAAGAATTACACTTGCCGAGTGATTTGATCGTCTCGACGGTACGCGGAAAGATATAGACGCGTCGCTTTAGATTCTCGGGACTCCGACGCTTTTGCGACGATCCTGCGTCGCTCTCCTTCCTTCCCCACTCCCGTGCTCGGTCGCGGCGCAGAGGACGCGTTCGCGCGTTCTGCGCCGCGTCTGGGGGCGCTGCGACGGGGCGAGCCGTTTCCGTGCGTCTGGCGCTGTCTTCCCGCAGAAACTCCATCGATCGAAAGCGCGTAGCGCGGCCACGGCCATTGTGTAAAAAGGACCCATGACGCTCGGATAGTGCGCGCTGAGGAGCGGACGCGTAGTTCCAAATTCCTCTTGTGATATTAGAGACTGTGCCAATATTTAGGTGAGTACACGAATCCAGCGCTCGTTTTTTGTCGCTTGTCCTGTGCGTTTTTCGAACCGGTTTGACGAAAGTCCGGAGAACGCGCCGTCCGGTGGAAAGTTTCGTGGAAAATCGGGTCGCGTTCCGCCGCCATGTCGCGTGCCCGCGTTCTCACGTATGTACCTGGACTCGGGAAAATCGAGTTACGCGGAGGAGAGGGCGAAATTATCGTCGGACGCGTCACCGATTCGCTCGTCCGCGTCGCGCTTTCCCAAGCTTTTTCGACGATTTTTCGCCATTTTGTCTCGCGCGAGAACGACGGGGTCGGCCATTACGTACGCGTGCCAGTTTCGTGATTTTAGGCCGGTGTTCCTCGTGACGTCGGTTCGAGCGGCGGTGACGCGGTCTCGAGTTTCTGCCGATGACGTTCGCTCCCGGCGAGAGCCGTCCTTAGAAACGTATATCGGGGGATATCGAGATGTACGCAAGTCGAGTGAGAAACAACGAGGTTATTGCACTTTAAACGGGTTAACGTATAATAAAAATGATCTCGGTGCTTCCGCGACCTTTCGATTTCGATCGCCCCCGGCGTTTTAAAGCGAAACTTCGAGGATCGATTTACCATCCTCGCGATGTAAAGATTTCAATAAAGCGCGAATTTTTGTGACTCAGATTAGAGTCCGAGACAATCGGGACACTATGTATGTATATTGCGTTTGTAAATACAGCTCGGCAAATTAAAGTGCACATGAGAGTCGTTGGGACTGTTCGCAAATTTTACGGCAATTTCTCGGCGTTTTTCTTTAATTGCCCAATGACAAGCTGCCTCGGTACGAATCGGTTTTGTTACATAAGGTAAGCTTTATTATCGCGTGCGGGATTATTGCGGTCGCATCTCATCTCGTAGTATTTTGTTATATATTCGCCTCTGTGTATGTAATTTGTGGCTGCAATTTATATCGTGTTATTCGCACATGCGACAGATGTATTTGAATCGGGTATTAACGGAAGGATGATCGAGGTCGCATATAAGAGAGATTCGGGAAAGCGTCGGCCATGACGCTTGTTAAATACATAACGCGAGATGAAAAGCCGGAGAACGTCCGCCATGATTATTCGACGTGAAATTTCTAGATATTAACATAATCGTGCCAGCGCGCCAAATGGTTTTAACGGCGAGTTTCAATGAGCGAGATTTTTTTTAACGGCGAGAATTATTTCGTAAAATTAAAGTCGGCCCAGTCGCGAATCTCTTTTGACGCATAATTGTTTGTTTTGATCATCGGAATTGCGAGCGATGTCGACGACGATCGATCTTATGGTTACGTAAAAGGACGCAATACGAAACCCGATGCAAAAGGGCATATGATTCTTGATAGATATTGATTTTACGCCTACTTTATTGCCGTTATTTATTTTGCCATTCGACATTTGCGATGTCATCAGGTTCCGGCCTGCCTTTATTTACTCTCGAGATTAAGTGAGCATAAATGATATTGGTTCAGGTAAAGCGGAATCGAATTATTTCGTAAGAAAATATAACTAATAACGTGAATGTTATGTATCGATAGAAATTTTTCGTTTTAGAATTACATTTCCAAACTTTTTTGCACGTGTTAACATTGTACTAATGGTTTAAAAAAAATTTTAAAAAATAGAGATGAGAGAGAGAAATATATATAAAGAGAAATAAAATATTTACAATTAAGAATATTTCATTTTTTTTTAGAATTTATTCTTTATTATTTTAGAACCATTCTTTTATATCCGGGAAGAAAATAGTTTCGAATTGAACAGTTAGCAGACAGAAAATACAATCAAGATAGAATCACACGAGATATGTTCGCACATAAAAAATGTGTGTAACTGGACTTTAATATACATTATTTTCATCGACTTGATCTTGTCTGTAATTGTAATTATCACTCGTCCAATTATAGAATTTATAAACCCGTAACGCAAGCTATATAATTTTGATATGTCACAAGCAATTTTTTAATTAATTTATAATAGTGCAAATTTTTTAAGTAATATAATTTCCTTGGAAATATATGTCGATGAATTAACTTTTTATTCAAAAATACATTATCGGAAAATGATTGCTCATCATGTTACTTTTGCAAATATTTTAATTAATTTATAATAGTGCAAATTTTTTAAGTAATATAATTTCCTTGGAAATATATGTCGATGAATTAACTTTTTATTCAAAAATACATTATCGGAAAATGATTGCTCATCATGTTACTTTTGCATTACATACAGTAATTACATACAGTATAAATACATAATACATACTGTAATTTGCATTGCCATTATGTACGAAAAAAACATAAGATAATTTTAAAAATAGCGAAATGGCAATTTTGTAGCATGATAAAGTTAAACTATAAGAACGACCATAAATTCTCACATTAAACTTATTTCAAGCAAATTTTTAAAATATAAATTTCGAGTTTTTTTTTTTCAAGAAAATCGATTTGAAGAGAATTTGCTGCGATAAATATACTATTAGAAATTAATATTATAATTGAGATTTTTTTCTTCGATCATTTTTGCGCGGTATCCGATAGAAGAGTTTATTTTTCCAAGGCTCTCTGAAAGAAGTTCTTTAAAATTCTTTCGACATAATTTCCCTGCTTGTAATATATCGATTGTATTCCGAGAGTTGCTAAAAAAGAAGTTCGCAATTCTGACGCCGACCAACACACGTATACGTATTTCGGCTTCGGCTGTGTCTCAATGCTATTCTCAATCGCGTCGCAATATTTCCTTTGCGACGCGCATGCGCGCCGTTTTCCTGTTTTTTCCCTCCTGCTCGTTCCGGGACGCGTCTTGCTCCCGTTTGCGTAGACGCCTGCGCCCTCCGGCGGCGGTCCGCGGTAGCAGAGCTAAAAGGCGTAGAGCTACGCCATAGTTGAAAAGGGCAGCGCACGAGGTGGACGCCGGGTCTGGACGCTCCACGCTGTTTTACTTTTCCCACTCCATTGCTGTGATATTAGATTCTTTTATATCTTCCCTATTAGAGGTGAGTGAGCTCCTCGGTATTATTAATCGTGCGCGGTTCGTACGGTACGCGTTTCGGGAAGGATCGCGCGAGGTGCGCGGGTGACATGGCGTGTCGCGGGCGGTTTCACGAGATGGCGAATGTTTTGGAGAGATAGGGAATCGTCCTCGTCTCGGTTGTCGTCGGGGTAACCGAAATGGTACGCGAATTTCCCGCGTGAATCGGCGACCGTTTGCGAATTCAGTGTCCATTGCCCAGGCGTGACGCTCGAACGCGGGGAATTCGGTCGGCCTGAGAGGACGCGCGCGCGCGCGCGTGGTCGAGATCGATCGCCGTGGTTTTCCTCCGCGAGCTTTTCACTCGTCGCCATTTTGTCCCGGGCACGACCTCGCCAAACCGCCATATTGCGATCCACGTATCTCGCTTCGGCGCGATTTCCAGGGACGTCGCGGGGGCAAGAGAGGCGCGTCTCGTGTCGTCGCGCAATTTCCTCTTCTCCTTTCCCCTCCTCCTCGCATCTTTTCTCGTCTTATCTCTCCCTTCGTTGTCGACAATAGATTCGTTTTTATGTAGCTCCATTTTTTCGCGCTATTTTATTTTTTTCTCCCTCTCCTCGAACTTGTATATAACTTGTATATATCTATTTTATTTTTTGCACTTTATGGAAGCTATGTTTTCTCGCGTTGCGCAAAAAAGACTTTGTTCCAATGAAAATATGCCGCTAGGACAAAAAAATGTGATACACAACGTGACCTATAGATTTTCAGCGTGACTTATACATTATCGGGATATATTTGTATACATATGTATAATTATCTGTCAACAATTTGTCTCTCGCACACACGTTGCCGCTCGATACTTGGTCGTCTGACGTAACGCGCTCTCTTGCGCGAGATAACAATATAAATAGATTATGCAATCGCATGTAGGCCGCGAAGCGATGGTTCTATCCTTCTCTCTCCTCTTTCACGATAGCTGTGCCTCGCGGTACTTTGCGACTGCGTACTTGGTTCCAACAATTCCCCCTGCTGCAGGCATGTCTAGTTCTTCCCCACCCGGTCGCGAACTGCGTGATCGATTTTCCGTATTTATTACGCTTCTAATATAAATTGGTGTTGACGTAAATCGAGTTCGACCTGTTCTGATTTTATTTTCCACGTCTCGGGAACGGTGACGCAGGAATTGCTGACACGTCACGATGGAAAGCGTTGAACGATCGATTAAAATAAATCGTGGTTTACAAGTCGTTTCTAAATTGTATTTTTAAGATTGTTAAAGTTTGCTATATCGCGTTAGCTTCGGATATATATTTTAAACATGTTTTTTTCACGAGATTTTTTAATCTTTCTTCATTAAATTATACTTTTACAAAGAGCCATACTTTTTATTATTGTCTATTATTTTTTATTATTATTATCATCAGCGTTCTTACGATCTCCGATGCATTAGAAATTCGCGCACGAGACATTTTTCTTTCTGCGACAAAAAATTTTTCGGACGACCTGGATAAGAGAGCGAGTCTAGTCACGCCAGTAGTAGCCGCCCCTGAGTCCCAGGGGCCTCCGCAGTTGTTGCGCAAGTCGTGCGCGCAGCCCGGACGTCGCAGCTGCGCGTGCGCGGTGCTTGCGCGTCCTCCTGCATCATCCCCACCAAGTAGCAGTCCGTTACCGTTACGAGACACGCACAAAGGCCAGAAGAGCGATCCGACCGACGCGCTTGCATCGCACACGGCCATTTTGGAAGCTTCGGCGCTTCGTTGCGGAGCTTTCGCCTCTGTCGTCCTCCCGCGAGAGCCGCGTGCGAAAAGGCGAAAGAACGGGAGAGGGAAGGACAGGATTGTCTAACCGGAACGAAAGTCGAAAGGCGTACTTTCGCGGGTACGTCGTCCGGCTCGATGTGCGCGATAATAATCGGTCGCGGGAGGACGAGATAGCGTCGGGTCCGTTGGTCAATCGATAGCAAAGACGCAAGGAACAGGAGAGAGAACAACCCCATTTCTCACTCTGTATGTTCTTTCGGTTCTCGTTTGTTCGTCTGCTTTGTTCGTCTGCTTTGTTCGTTTATCGCTAATTTTGCCTGTTTTCTCCATCTGTGTAGAAACGAGGAAACGAAGCAATTAAGAAAATGGAGGACGACCAACAGTTTTGTCTCAGGTGGAACAACCACCAAAGTACGTTGATTCAAAATTTCGACACACTCCTCGAAAGCGGAACATTGGTCGACTGCACCTTGGCAGCAGAGGGGAAAACTCTCAAGGCTCACAAAGTAGTCCTCTCCGCATGCAGTCCATATTTTGAGGTGAGTGAAACGTTTTATTTATCGTTACCTAATGTCATGATACGTCAGTTTTATTTCTTGGCGTATAGTTTAAAAAAGCTTGCACAGTTTCAAAAGATCTCGACTACGAATCGCCTCTTTAATAGATTCTTTTATATAATCTGAAGTAAATTAATGTAATTTTTGGCAAAATTCTCCTCGTTTTTCTTTGTACTTTTTCATTATAATAGTTAATTGTAAAGTAATATTTGTGTTTGATTGCGGAGGTAGTTTAGTTGCAATAGTTAAATAATAATGTTTACAGTTTTATTAAAAATCATGCTTGTCGCAAATTTTATCTGTTACTTACGCGAGAATGCAATTTAAAAATGAAGGAATTATGACATAAAATAATTGTGCCGCATCAAACAAATTATAATTTTGTGCCATGAAGCTTTTCCGGTTGCTTCTTTGTCCCGTTGGCATCGTTGGGTTAGATCAATACGAAATACGTTGGTAGAGAGTGAGATAGATTGTTGAGAAGCGAAGGGAGAGAGGGAAAGAGTCTCAAGTTGAAACAAGATGGCCGTGCTTGTTGCCTGGGCAGGAGTGTATAATGTGTAGTGGGAGGGTGGGGAGCAAAAGCCTGTGTAGCCCCCTCCTAGGTTTCCTCTTGATCAATACAGGGAAAGCAAGATGGCTGATTTCCAGGGCACTTGCCCTGGGATTTTATCCTGATATGGGTGGGGATGCAGAGATGCTATTGCAGTAATTGAATACCATGAAAATGAATAATGTACTCGAATTGAATCTACAGTTACAGAGATGGGACTTTGTATTCTAATTGTATATATATATATGTAGTATGGTATATATACATATATACATGTAGGAGACTAATGCTTTTTTTCTCAAAAGTTATTTTTAATTATAAAAGCTTTTAATGTTATATTTCATGAATAATATTTATTCTAAATTTTTATGCTTTTGCATATTTATGTCTTATAATCAAAAAGTTATCGAGGCAACATTTTACATTTAAATTTACATTTAAAATTACACGTTTTGAAAATGAATTTTACATTATGAATATTATGAACATTATGAATATTGTTTGAAGGAATATGTACTTTTAATGTTACAGTGCCTCCTCAGCGAACACTATGACAAGCACCCAGTCTTCATACTCAAGGATGTTAAATTCAAGGAACTTAAGGCAATGATGGACTATATGTATAGGGGGGAAGTTAATATTTCCCAAGACCAATTGGCAGCACTCCTCAAAGCCGCTGAGTCTTTGCAAATTAAGGGCCTTTCGGAAAGTAAAACTGCTGGCAGTAGTAAAACTGAATCCAGAGCACAGAAAACCGTCTCACAACCGATAGCACGCGTTTCACCATCGTTAGACATTCCACACGCGTCTTCCGGTCTAACGATAGAAAAGAACAAAGTTCCTAGGCAGAGTGTGGCACAAGGTCCTGTAGCAGATTTACCAGAGGATACGGCTAGTCCTCAAGGGTCGTCGAAGAGGCTCTGCTCGAGGTATTTCAAGATAAATTGATTTTTTTTTAAATATAATATTTTCCAATTTTGAAAACATTGTTAAAAATCATTTGTTTTTTTTATCATACAGAGAAGGCTCACAAAGTCCAACATCAAGAAAAAGAAATAGGTTTCGGAGAAGAAGTTTGGGGGAAGATACTAATACGTTAGAAATGCAAGATGCATCGAATTCTAGTGACATGCCTCAACAAATGGGTGTACCGGCTCTTGGAATCGCGCCTGTGACAGACGAGAAAGTGCACGCGGACTCGATTGACTCTCTTGGCAGGTCAGCTTTGATGACGCAGTTGACGAAACCCGCCGACGAGATATTACAGGTATATTATAAAGTGTTGCGAATTTTTATCTCTTTTTCTCGCATGCGCGTGCCAACGCTCTAGTAGAGGCTGTCGCCAAAAGCGCTGTTTCTTTCGCTTCGTTGGTAAAGAAAAATTCGTACTTTATCCTACTGCTTTGGTTTTATTACACATTGCAGTGGGGAAACGGTGTGAGACATATCTTTTTTTTTATCTATAGTAGATTTAATTTCTTATGTATAATAATAAAAGAGCTTTTTTGATATCACGATTTTTAATACGTCTTAATATTCTGTAGCCACTCGAAAAGTCCGAGACAAATGATAATCTCATCGAGCCAAAGTCTGAATACCTAGAGGAATCTGAGGAGTGTGTCGAAGACTTAACGTTGGACGACGATATGAACGATCTAAATGATGTAGAGCAGGACAACAATCGAGCTGGACCGTCCCACGACCCCACCCAACACCCCGGTAAGTTTAAATTCTTTTCATAATTGTTTATTATAATTTTTTTAGTTTTATCGTAGCGGAATACAGGGTTTATTTATCTCAATTAGACACAATACAATACAAATTGCAATGACGTGCGTTTAAACTTGCGCATCGCTAAACTGTGTGTCGCGTCTAAGAGTATGGAAAATATACATACAGCTGATAATTCCATTCTATATGAAATTTCACATTCTGGAGAGAGTCAACGACAGTAGCGAATCTTCGATCCAAAAGATTTATTTGGATCGAAGCAGAGCTTGACGTCTAATACAGTGATTGGAAAGTGATTCTTGAACAGGAGTAGCGATATTGCCGGTCGTGATAATCGTAATAAATCGTGTTTCTCGTTTGCTCGTAAATAGGGAAGGGTTTATATGTTGAACGAATAAATAGTTTGATGTCGCGAAGTCGTTTCGTTCTTTTGTTTGTTATCTGTTAAAGCGGGCCGTGTAACAAATTGGCCGACACTAGCTTGGGTTTCCTCGTTGCAGGTGGGGGGGCGGGAGCGCGGTCTCGGTCGAGAGGGAATTTCGGTAGTGGTGATGGTGGTGCCCTATGGGCTTCCCATTTCCTCGAATGTAAAAAAGTGCCAAACATGAGGCGGCCGCGCCCGGACGTTGACGTAGGCGCGTTGCTTAAATCACTGGCAAGTAAGCAGGGCAGAAAATATAGTTTAGACTCGGTTAAAATGTCCCTGGAGGCAATATTGCAACAGGGCGTTAGCACCACTCAGGCATCCGAGATGTACGGCATTAATCGCTCAACACTGCAGTTCTATTTGAAAAAATTGAACGTCGTCAGGAGGAGATGGAGGCAACAACCTGCTAATACCCCAGTCCAGCCTAGACACACTTAGTGTGCGTGTGCGTAGGCACGCGAGTATTGTAATGTCACACGCACCGCACTCTTCTACGTCGAGTTCGATCAGCCAAGATTGTCAGTATTAATTGTCGCCGTATAATTTCGTTCAAAACATTGGAGACTGATATAAATCCGGGATATTCTTAAATCGTCCGCTCAAATCGAACATGCTTTGTAGAATATATGCACATTGCTGACAGATATTCCTTCTTTGTTTTTGCATTTTGACGTTAAATTTATTCTGGAGTCGAAACTCAACAAGAATCACTTCCAAACTGACTGTTTTAACAATAAATAATCCAAAGATATATGCGAGTCCAAGTATGACGAGCGATACGTACAAAGTATTTGAATTTTAAATAGTCTCAACCTATCAGTATTATCTGTTTATATAGTGTTCTGTCTAGTCTTTATTTATCTGTTTCTTAAATGTTACGTGTAGATTAAGCGTTTAAAATTTGTGTGATTGCGAGCTATACGTGTGTATGCAAGTATGTGCACGAATATAACAAACTGCGGGACAGATATGTATGTTATTCCGCGTAATTTGCCAAATATTACTTGCTGTAACGAACCGTGAATATAGAGGGACGAGTGTTAGGAGTGTATTGTATTATATAAATGTATCTTAAGCACTTCCATTGTATAAGGGAACATTGTGCGAATTTTCGATCATGAAGCCCTGTGTTTCGCTGCGTAATACCTTACATAATACCTTACATATATGTCCTAAAATATTTTTGTTCCCCTTTAAAAGAGTTTATGTGAATAAAGTACCCTTCATATATATATATCCCTGGAATGTAATTCTTTTTACGATACAATGCATTAATTGTAAATTATTTGAGATTTTTAAGTAAGAATCTGAAACAATTCAAAATTAATCTTAATCTTTGTTTTTACATTTAATCGAAAACTTGACAAAGCGGCGGATTCTTGTTGTTTTATGTAAAGATGCATTTTTTGACATAACGGTATCGCGCAAAGAGTAAATTTAATTTTACAATAAGACTTATCGGTTATGGTTATCCTTTATTTTAGCAAGCCTTGGCGCGTGGCACGTTACTGGAGACCGAAGTAACGCGGGGGGTGTCGTGGATTTACTGAGAGGAGGCGGGACAGATGAGGTGTTTCAAGCAGCTCAAGAGGCCGCACAACAGGCTCAACGCGACTCACAAGGTAGGCTCATCCTCGCCATTTTCCAACTGTCTCCGACCCCCGTAACAATAGGCACTCGTAATTGGCTTAACTCGTTAGAATTTGGAGCGCGTTTATTACGCGAACAGGCTCAACATGAGAATAGTTTCCACAATGGTAAGATGCAAATTCGAAACAGATTTATAATTAGTCGAGTATAATACGCGCGTACTTCTTTGAATGAGCTCTCGAGAACGTGGAAAATTTCAAACGGTGATACGTATCTTTCTAATGTGGCGGAAACGGACAATGGCTCATTCACAAGCGAGTACGCTTCTAAAAGTTTCGATAACGTGTACACAGCGAGAAACACACATGTGTGTGTGTATGTGTGTGCGCGCGCGTAATTATATGTGCCTATTGCGCAGGCGGGAAGGAGCTTATTTTTCTTTCGCTGTCGATAACGTGGTTCAACCTAAATTCCGGTGCGTTCAAGTGTAGCACGGTCTCTGAAAGAGCTTTTTATTTTCTATCAGGGCATGTAGAGCTTTTCCGTTAAATTCTTAAGTTCTTTGTGTACATCTCTACCTTTTTCTTTTCTTAATGTAGCGTCGCGACACGAGGTCTGACGTAAGACGAGCCGTGCGCGCCTTTTTTTTTTTTTATTACATCTACATCGATTTTCTATAATTGGTATACACGGTATTCGTTCTGTGATACATCGACTCGTCTTCGTTAGCCTCACAACGCGCAACGCTGCGGCCTCTCTCTCCTCCGAAAGGAGTACGACAGCGCGAAGAGGATTGCCCCCAATCGACCGAGGGCACACGAGATTCAATCTCTCGTGTCAATTTCCCTATAAAAAAACGAGATGATTAATAGTTAGCTATATCTTATTTCCCGATGATAAACTTTTATTTCCCATTACGCGACACGATAATAGTAGTGTTATTAACAGTAGATAGTAGTAACACATATAACTTCCTCCGATCGCAAAAAATGATTCATTATTGTTTACGTAAATACGTCCATAACGAGAGTTATGAGAAAAGAGAGAATGGGAGAGAGAGAAAGAGAAAAGTGAGAGCGAGCAAAGGCGGAGAATTCAGGACTCGACATACAGATCATAAAGTTTTTTATTAATTTATTAACCTTTTATTAAATGATTAAATTTATTAGAGAGAGAGTTAATTCGGTTCGCAGCGTGGAATGTATCGATTACTTACGATTTCTTTAAATCTTTGATCTCTTACAAATGCAACGATATTTGAATAATGATATAATTGATACGCGGTTAAGGTTAATAAAAAAGTAATTGAAAATTAAAGGCGGAATAATTCGAATCGCATCAGTATAAAAATTATAGGAGATGGGAAGTAGAGCTCTCTCGATGTGATCTCCATTTTCATAATCAATTAATTTTATTTACATTTGTAAATTTAAGAAGAGAAATATATTCGACGATTGTTTTTACATTTTCGCTCGCAACTTTACATTCGAATTTCGTTGACAAGACAGAAAGTTGTAGCTCGGCGAATTTTTGCCATGAAAAAAATTTCGATGTGCATCCGGTTAACGTTATTTTCCTGTTGCTATGGGAAATTGAAACCGAGATAACGTGAGAATTCCTCGAGTAGGTAGGAATATAACGGGACCTCGCTCAGTCGATGTATATGAGTCGACAGTCTTGACAGCCTAGTTTTATGCTCTTCGAGAAATTTGACACTCCATGAAAAACAGTTTCAGCGTGTACTATATTTCGGCAGCGTTAGCTACATTCGTCGATCGTTTTACGCTGAAACAATTTAAAGTGACCGTTCTATTTAATCACTTTGATTATCGAATAAAATCACATAAATTTTTAGCATTCTTTGCTATATGTTTAAAAGTTGATTTTTATCAATGTATTTCTTAATCGTATGCAATAATGAGTAATTTATGAAATATTATGAGCGACTTTCGGCAAATCGATTTTGTAGAATCAATAAATAGCATGATATATAAATTGCATGATGAAATGAGAAGTCAAACAAGGACAAGAATATCTTTACCTTTGTTTTGATTAGATTCAGTCTTTTCCAATATTGTCTTTTTTTTTTTAATTATTTATATTATTTTCATTTTCTTTCAGTTTATCATGAGCCATTGTATGATAGGCGCGTATGTTCATTTTATGATAGGCGCGAACCTATACCACCTATACCACCTATGATACCACTTCATAATAGTCATCAACCTGCACAACGTTATGATAGTTATGAATCTGCACGACTTTATGATAGTCGTGAATTAACACGATTTCATAATAGTCGTGAATTAACACGATTTCTCCCTATTACAGTACGTTCAGTACGTATAGTTAGACCTGAGATTATGCAGAACACTCGTTATTTGAATTTTTCTATCAATAATATTATGGATAGAAATACGTCGTGGCAGCCATGGAAATAAGTGAGTATTTACATGTATAGATAATTACGTATTTGGTCGAAACAGAGCCACAAATATTGGCTTTGGGATGTTACAAAATTTAGAATGTGTGTGATAGAGAAACCTACGCAGCAGTTTCTGTAGAAGAAAGATGATAAAAGAGAGACGAATGAGCAAATGAGAGGAACGGCATTGACTTTGATTGATATTAAGAAAAAAAAGATATAGGTATGTTAGATATAGGTCCTTTTTAATTTATCACATTAATCAATATATGTTTTTTAAACAGATGGAGATTCGAAATTGTGGAAGTTAGATAATTTAATTATTATAAGTTTTCAATCGATTCGTGAGGAAATTAACATGCGATTAGACAATACTTACATTTCAAGAAAGAGATTTTCGATCAGCAGATTCAAAACATTACATGAAAGATTCGGTAAGATTTGTTATATGATGTTGCAGATGAATTGATGGAAATTAGATTATTAGAAAAATCTTTCGCATTAAAAATTTGAATAGATTAGGTTAGGTTAGATAATTAAAATGAATAAAAAAGAAAAAAAAATAAATTCTTTGTTCACGGAGATGAGACTATAAAAAATAATAAAATTCCTCATTTATATTGATGACTCATATTTATCACGATCCCCGCGTATAGGGACATTGAACTATACGAGATACGTGCATCACACATACACATATTATAATATACATTACATAACAGTAAAATCACTACAGTATCAATGAATGATTTCGATACATGATGAGATTATAATAAAACCCGCAGTATTGTTTTATGAATACTCAATTGTAATTACGAACATAACACTAATTGTATGGTATAATAATTATAATTTTATATTTATGAATTATACTTTGATAAATAAATAAATTTAAAAAAAATAAGAAATACATCAAAATTATTTGAATTAAATATGTCTGAGCGAAAAAAAATCATATGCTCACAGCTTGGTATTTGAATTGTAAAAATTACTACCTACAAAGAAAAATTTGACAATCTTTTGGCACAGTATATAATACGTACTTATTACATGACATTTGAAAATTTTATCAAATTAGTGATATTAATCCCTAATGGGATGCCAATTTCTAGTAAGTCAATAATCATTTTTTTAAACAATACAAAAATCGAATTATAACATCTCAAAGCAGTTGTTCTTCAAATTACATACATATATTTTTTCCATTCAAAGGCATCCAAAAGTATTTTTCTTTTTTGAATCAATGCATTAGTTTCTTATAAATTAATTAATTTACAAAATTATGCGAATGCAATAAGCTTTTATTTTTAACATTGTAGTCTCGAAGCTATGATTATTCATACACATTAGCATTAAATCTCTAAAAAATGAATAGGCTTTAATGAATTTTATAGATAATGAATAAATTAGGATTAAAAGTAATTTATTAGGATTTATTTTTCTTTTTGACTATATACCTATGTATTGCCTAATGGGCAGCCATTTTACGATCCAAAATCTCAGCGGTTAAGAACTAAACGGCTAAAACAAAAACTACTAATAATCATGTAACGCAATATATATTACATAAATGAACATAATTTTTTATTATAATTTACAAATTATTCTTATCCTTTAAATATTATTTTTTGAAATCTTTTCTAACATGTATCAAGTACGATTTTTGAATGAATTTTTCGAAGTAATAGAATTTTATTTTTAAATGCAATTATTATTTTTATTAACTCATACTTATGATTGTCTATCAAATCATTGTCCACACATCGCGTGCACATATTAAAATTGTTGAAAATTTGATTAAGATTTATATTTCTCATTATATTTATACTAATTTTTCTTTCTGCACGTGGTATTTGGAATTGAATTTAAACGCATATGAGATAAATCAATCTTCTCCAAATAATTTTCTTTAAAATATTTTGCACATATTGCTGTTTTTTGATAAATTTAGGATAGGTTGGGGAGACGCTCTGGGTACTTTGACTGATCAATCAGGTTAAAGGAATCTTTATTTTTTTTGTCCTGATTGGTCAAACGCATCAGAGTGTCGTCCAGACTGCAGCCTATGTGTGCTTTTTTAGGTATATAGTCAAAGGGTTCATGGGGAAAATCGTTTTCTTTCGCATAGGGGAAGAATGATGAGAGGAAAAACCTTTGGGTGCATCCACTAGCACAACCGTTCATTGAACGACTAAGGTCTAGTTCCACAATTTATTCTAACCGAAGTTTAGCTCGACTAACTGAATGTGATTGGTTTCTATGTTTAAATTTACCAATCACATTCGATTGCTACTTAGGTTCAATTCCACAACTCACTTTAACCGAAGTTTACTCGTTAAAGGACAATTTACATTGCTTCCAAAGCCCACTATATCCAATGAGACGCCATATATCGGACATTGGACGCAATGTAATTCTCCTTTAACGAGTAAACTTCGGTTAAAGTGAGTTGTGGAATTGGACCTAAGTAGTAATCGAATGTGATTGGTGAATTCAAACATAGAAACCAATCACATTCAATTGCTATTTTAGCCGCTCAGTGAGCGGTTGTGCTTCTGGATGCACCCACAGGTTTTTCCTCCATAATTCTTCCCCTATGCAAAAGAA